AAAAAATTCTGTTGAAAAGAGGGCGAAGAATCAATAAAATGAAAAACAACAGATGCTGGAGAGGATGTGGAGAAAAGAGAATGCTTCCACACTGTTGGTGGGAATGCAAACTAGTTTAACCTCTATGGAATACAGTGTGGCGATAAAAGAACTAGAAATTGACTTTCCATATGACCCAGCAATCTACCTTTGGAAATATACTTAAATCACTCTACAAAAAAGATACCTGCACATACATCTTTTTTGCAGCACTATTTATAATACCAAAAACATGGAACCAACTATGCTACCCATAGAAACTGGACTGGATTAAAAATGTGGTACATGTACATGATGGAATGTTACGCAGCCATAAAGAAGAACAAAATTATGGACTTCACAGCAACTTGGATGGATTTAGAGTTTATAATACTCAGTGATTTATTGTAGAAACAAAGAACTGAGTACCACATGTTTTCACTCATAACCCCCTGAACATTTACCATAATACAATAAGAAAGTAGCCAGAAACTGTGGGGTGGGGGAAGAGCAGTAATATCAATAAGGATACCTGATTTCAAATCAGGCAGAATGGGAACCAAAGGGAGTCCCAAATTTCCCTATACGATGACCACTTGTATACCTAATCCTGAATTGTACCCACATCCTTTTTGTTTTGTTTGTTTTTTTGAGTTGGAGTCTCACTCTGTCACCCAGGCCAGAGTGCCGTGGCACACTCACGGCCACCCCAGCGTCATCAACCTGCTGGGCTCTGGCGATCCTTCTGCCTCAGCCTTCCAGGTAGCCAGAACTACAGGTATACACTACCATGCATAGCTAATTTTTTGATTTATTGTAGAGACAAGGTCTCACCAAGTTGCCCAGGTTGGTCTTGAACCCGTGGGCTCAGGCAATCCACTCACCCCATGGTCCCAAAGTGCTGAGATTACAGACTGAACCACCAGCCTGGACTTTTTTATTTTTTAAGTTGGAGTCTCACTCTGTCGCTCAGGCTGGTGTGCAGTGGCACGCTATCATCAAAGAAATGCAAATTAAAATCATACTGAGAAACCACCTAATTCCAGTCAGGACATCCATCAGCAATAACTCAAAAAACAGCAAATGCTGGAGAGGATGCAGGGAAAAGGGAATACTTCTATATGGTTGGTGGGAGTGTAAATTACCACATCCTCTGTGGAAAACAGTGTGGTGATCCTAAAAGATCTAAAAATCAACCTTCCACATAACCCAGCAATCACCCTTCTGGAAATATACCCGGAGAAACACAATTCATTCTATAAAAAGATTTCTATTAGCTGGGCTCAGTGGCTCAGCCTGTTATCCTGTGCTTTGGGAGGCTGAGGTGAGTGGATTGTCTGAGTCCGCGGGTTCGAGACCCACCTGCACAACTTGGCAAGACCTCATCTTTACAATAAATAAAAAAATTAGCCAGGTATGGTAGTGCACGCCTGTAGTTCCAGCTACTTGGAAGGCTGAGGCGGAAG